ACGGGATTTGCACCACCGGATTATTTGTTTGGACGGTACTCCTGAAGTACCCTCCAAATCTGGTTACTCTAGCTCAACTCCTTCCTTGTACACAGACGCCAACAACAACAACAACAACAACAACACAGAGACACAAAGGCAAATGCATAGGCCCTCCCCTAATTTTTTGAATAGAAGGGCGGGCCAAAAATAGCATTTAGTCATCAAAATCTACACCAATGGGATTAAACTTTCGGTCGGGGGTCCGAACGGGTTCTATTTTCGTCGTCAGCAGCCTCAAAAACATATGAAACGATATGAAATTGGACACAAAGTCGAAAGTACCTCAAAAGTTGTCTTTTTTCTGCCGTTTTTAAAGTGTTTTTTGGCTAATTTGACCGCATGGATTGAGATAGAAAGCTGAATTGTGGTGTGTAGGGAGCCAAGGACATACCTAATGACCCTGCAAAATCTCAGCCAGATCGGCCGAGCCGTTCAGGAGGAGTAGTGCACACACACACACACGCAGACAGGCAGACAGACAGACAGACAAAACTTTTCATCCCCACTGGAGTAACGGGCTTCGCTATCGCTCAGCGCTCAGTTTCAGGGAGAGTAAGTCGAACTAGTGGAGCTATTTAGAAGGCTTCTTATTTTTAAAAACTTGACCGAAGAGCTTTTATATGCAACTCGGGCCAAACTTAAAGCGTAAATGAATCGAAAATCTCTTCCTCTTCAAGATTACATACGATTCCATACATGCATATGAAAAGCAAGTAGTCGTGTCGTATGTTCGCTTAGGAAGATACAGGGGCTCACTGGAAAACCTAACGTTTCAATTGTAGTAAACCGGCGACCTATGCAGCCATTCGCTAGGTCCAACTCTCATATCACATGAAATCATTAGTCACAAAAAAGGGTCGTTGACATTGAGGTAGGATATGTACATGGAAAAAATTATTAAAGACGTAGCTTTGCCCCTTTTTCTATGAAAGTCAAAGTTCACAACGCAACCGCTGTGGCCATGGGGGATTATCGTTGTTACTGGATTATCTTCATCTTTTAGAAGAGCTCTTCAGCTTCCTCTACTCAAACCCTGCGCAATTGAAAGTGTTCAGAGCATACTCAATCTCCCTGGCGTGACGTTTATGTGTCCGAAATCACCCCGTAAAGTAACAATTTTTCAGTTTTGAGTCCATATAAACCAAACTATTTGACCCAAAAAAATTTGACACAGCATGCTCTTAACATGTTCGAATCGACAAACAATCATCTCATGAACCGTCCATTTACAGTTTCGGCTTGCCAGTCAAAGTTTTTACGCTTAAAGCGAATTTAGGTAAAAAGGGTTAAATACAAAAACCACTCTATCTCTTGAAGTTTGCCACTGTTTTGATCTCCGGGTGAGTGATTAGGTGGTTTTAAGTGTGGCCGATTCGATGCGCGCAACGCGACAAGCCTCCAAGTTGGCTGTAAGATGGGAGCATCATCGCCATGCTTCCGGGCTGAGATGTCCGAAATTACACCAAGTGTCCGAAATAACCCCGTCTAACGGTACGGACTGACAGACTCACAACAAGTCACTACTTTTTGGTGCGCCCAAACATGGCATGGGCTTTGCTATCGCTCAGAAACGGGGCGGTCCAAAAATTGACAAAATTCACGAAGTGACTAGTATCGCCACTTTTCCTGTCATTGAAAATAGCAGTACGTCAGTAAAGAAGGATGACGGATATGGCCACCACGTTGTAAATCGTAGCGGTAAAATTCTGAAAGCTACTTTGACCACCACATCAAAATTCATCCCTTATTTGAAAGGAAAGTGTGTCCGACAATCCGGTTCATTTGCCTCGATTACATCGTTTCCAAACGGTCTCGAAAGAGTGTCCCAAGTTACCCCATGACCGGGGGTAACTTGGGACAGTAGGTAATTAGCTACGTTCCCATGCCTCTATTGATGTTAATGGATGTAATAAATTGAAGTCACAATATGTAGACCAAGAATTCAGGCCTAGGAAATCTTGTAGGACCGATATTGGACTATATCTATGGCTCTACGTGGAACTCTCTTTTCTACTGGTATTTTCTAGGCATGTTCTGAAAATTTCGAAATATGCATTACCAGAAGACAAATCTGCAGAGCAAGGCATCTCTTTCCATTACCAGCGTAAAATCCGAAGTTTAGGTTATGTCAGGAACCGGGTCAGTCACCTCCTTGGAGGCTAGGACTGCTGGAAACATGAGAAAAAGACTGTCCCAAGTTACCCCGTAAAATTTCGATTTTTGATAAAATGCAGTCTGGACCGAAGATGGGAAAACTATAATCAACGACCTTTTGCGAACGTTATTATCTGTGTATGATCTAACAGCCCAGAGAGACGAATCGGCCAAATTTGCATTTGACTCGTGAGTTCCAGATACGATATGCGTTTAGTACGGGCCGGGCGTTGACCTTTCATTTGGTGGGTCTCTCATTATCATCTGTCTTAACAAATTTTGTGTAGTGACACTGCCAATCCAAGTGTGAGACAGTCTCACTCTATTTAGTGCGAACCTCGATGTCTCACGCTTACAAGTGTGAGTCACGCGTGTCCTACACTTGCAAGTGTAAGACACGGCATGTCCTACACTTGCAAGTGTGAGACACGGCATGTCTCATACTTACAAGCGTGATACACTGTTTGTCTCACACTTACGAGCGTGGGTCCTGTGGCATTAAACCACAGGGAACCATACACCGTGAGAAAAAAGTACGGAAAAAGTACGGAACATGTCTGGTCAATAATTTGCCTGGACCGTCCGTACTTGCCAACTACGGAACGTTCCGTACCTTTTTTCCGTACCCATTTACATGGGTTCCGTACTTTTCTCCGTACCTCCGTAATATATTTTTCTGTACCATTTCCGTACAAAAATACGGAATTTTTTACAGTGCAGGCAGTAAGTGTGGGACGAACCGTGTTTCACACTTGTAAGTGTGTGACATATGATGTCTCACGCTTGCAACCCGTTTAAAAAAGATCGTGCCGAGAATGTGTCGAAATGATGTCGAAATGATGCCGAAGTGTCCGGCATGCCCTGAATGATGCCTAAATGCGCTCGGCAAGCCCGAAATCCACCCGCCGCCGGCACGCGGCAAGCCCGAAATGAGCCCCGGTGTCGCGGGCGGCCCGAAATCGTACCGCGACCCCGACCGCTGTCCGGCCGGGTGGATTTCGGGCGTGCCCGTGCCTTTCGGCATGATTCCGGGCATGCCTGGGCATGCGCCCCGCATCGAGACCCTAATCAAAGAAGTGTCAAGTTAATGTCTTTGACCTGCGTACAAAATTGAAAAGTTAAAATAATGAAATTCTCTCTTAAGTACCAAGTCTATCAAAACCGGCGTGAAAAATTAGAAAATTCCGTGCAAACGAGATGTTTGTAGGACAATTTTGAATTCTTTGACTGAACAAATCTACAATCAAATTGAACACTTTGATACGGGTACTTGAATGAATGCAGTTTAATCCGTTGAGCTTCTAATGCTTAACAGCCTTAGCAGTAACTGTAGCTTGCATCCTAGTCTATAGGGCTCTCAATAAAATGAGCCGCGGGGCAAGGGTACTTCGAGTACGTGGATTATAAGGAAGCGAAGAACCGGGTTTGCGTGTAAGAGCCAGCACCTTAATAACCGGGTTTGGGAGCCTCAGACCTGGGTTTCCAGTGGGCCTGGATCCGCGGGTTGACTACCACACGCAGTGCCCCAGTACCTACGCTCACGTTCACTAAGTCTGTTGTTAGATCCAAGTGCCCAGCTCAACCCACGCACCTTGTCCAAAAGTCGAGGGGCTCTCCGCGAGTAACCCAAGAGTCTCGCGGGGGTTACGTATTCGTCAAGACACAGGGCTCGCCGCGTGCTCCTCCGCCAGCAGCGTGTCTCCCCCGCCCCCTCCAGTGCCGCTCGGGGTCGAGCGAGCTCGCTGGAAGGCATCGGGAGCCTGAGGCCTCCTCCCCAGGTCTCCTCCGTGGTGCAGTTGGCAGCGTCTCGGTCCACAAAGACGGTCGTCCTGGGTTCCAATACTAACCAGTGTTTCTCCTCCAGCGTTCTGTGTACGTGTGTGTGTATGTGAGTGTGTAAATGTGAGCCTGTGTGTGTACGAGTGTGCCTGTGTGCGAGACTGAATGGGCACCGCCATCCAGGTACCTCCCCCTCCCCTGCAGCTTAATGGGAGGGACAGTTCGGCACGTTTTCGGCATGCCCGGCAAGCGTCCGGCATTGCCGAAAATCGGTTTGTTTTCCAACAAAATGATCATTTTTCGGCAAGCCCGGACTCCTGGTTCGGGGCGGATTTCGGGCGTGCCGGCCGGGCATGCCCGAAATCCTGCCGTCATCCGGCACGATTTCGGGCAAGATCATTTTTAAACGGGAAGCGTGGGACAAACGTGGCTCACACTTGTAAGCGTGAGACATCGTGGTTCGCACTAAATAGTGTGAGACTGTCTCACTCTTGGATTGGCAGTGCGGTCTGAATGCCGTGTAAATGTGGTGTTGCGGTTGAGACCAGATAACCTTACGTCTCTGTCGCACCCGCTTGACCATCTTACTTTACCAACCACAGCTCATTTTCTCTTCACCAAAACATTAAAAAAAAAAACTCTTTTCGGCCACTTTTTTTCGATTCCGGCATTCTGTTCCGGCCTCCCTGCACGCTCACCCTGTCTAGTCCGTCCAGTCCGCGCCTTTGGGATGCCGCCGAGTCGCTGAAGTGAGACTGGTTCGCTGTGTTTGCCATCGGCGTCAACGAGCCCTACGTTTGCCGCGGGCTTGCGTGCCGAGTACGCCTCATGCATAAGCCAGGCGCCACTTTATTCATGCACCCGTTGCGTGCGTGGTGGCGGGCGGGGCGTCCGCGTCGCCGCACCCTCGCACCCAGCCTGCTGGCTCGTGTGGTGCGGCGTCGCATTAACCGTGGCTGAGGCCAGAGCTGCCGCACCCGCCGACGGAGCCGTGTCGTCGCCGGACTGCTGGGAGACTCCGGCAGCGCACAGAGGGACGAAACGCGAAAAAAGTGGTCAGAAGGAGTATTTTCCTAAGTGTGCCTTTTCAAACTTATATTGGTAAGCAAGGTCTGGCCTACTTGGAACACTAAGTATTTGACAATATGAGAGGCGGGTCAGCCCCAACGGAGTTCCAACCGTGACAAATTCTTTTCTTTTCATGCATCCATTGCGATGGTTGAATATTTTTCCTTCTGGCTGTCGAATCCTTGGAGATTTAAGTGTATTGTTGTATGTTTTTTGTAAGCTTAGGACGTCAAACAACTGCCGCCGCTTACCTGCGTCAAATGTACCCCTGCACACGAAGGTGGAAATACCATCTTTGCTTCAAATCGTGAAAATACTGTAACTAAACGGCTCCTCCGACCTGTTGCCAACACAGCATCAATCGTTGGACATGCCTGAACCCTAAGAGGGTGGTTTTAGATAGAAAAACAGCTGTTTTTTATTCCTGATTTTTTTCTGGGCACGTGCATCGGTACATTTGACGCACCATTAGAGGTTGAACGAGTCAGTTCACGACTTTTCTCTCTTGGACCATCAAAGAACTTGTGTTGTCCTTTTCAAAACTGCTAACAAGGGAAGTGCCCCAGGTGTTACATCCAGGTTTTGATCATAATTTAGGGATTTATTCTACTATATAAAACTAATTTTTCGCAAAAAAGTTAGTGTTGAGATATATAACAATTTCTAAAGTAAGGTCCAAATTTTCAAAAACACTTCAAAATAATTTTTTTACCTAAAAGTTTCTTTATGGCCTGAAACGTCCAAATTAATTTTTTTTTCGTTTTGGAGTAGTTAAAATTTCGACCTTTCAAAAGTTAAAGGTGGCAATACAATGAAAATGGCCAAAACTGACTTGTGCCATTGCTTCCATTAGCGTTGTTGGACGTTGTTCAAACTTTTCATGTGTCAAAACCTTCATAAAAGAAGCATTTTAAGCCTAGAGTGGGGTAAATCGGACGTCAGGGAGCGGAGCAGTGACCATTCAAATTTTCGTCAAAAGTCGAACTGGAGGGAGTCCCTCAGTTTGCGCAAAAATGTAGGTTATTGAAGCTGCTATCTGGCGAACTAGGATCATGAACATCAAGCAAATCAAAAGTACAAAATTTTACGTCAATCTGTTTTGATCCTTTTTGCAAAATCCTCAGAAAGTGTTTTTGGATAAAATTTTGTTTTTTCGGTTGCTCGATGTTTATGGTTCTACAGAGTGAGTTTTTTCGATGTGTCAATAATTTGTAGGAAGCTTAGGCACCCCTAGCGGATCATTTTTCGCCCATGAACTAGTGGGCGCAAACGTCTAGTTCCTGAGATAATAAGTGTTTTGTAATTTACCTTCGCGCCCATGAGCACTCAGAATGAATTGGTCACCACCATCACCCTTTAAATGGGTGATGCAACTTCGTTGCCCAAATTTTGGTGACGAAAAATTCATCACCCGAAATTTGGCAACAGGCGTTTGGTCGCCCAAATTTGGGTAAAGCCGTCGGCGACGCCGTGAGGTTCCCGATGGCGTCCTTCCGGGGCCACCACGATGACCGGAGGCCTCAACGCCACATTGGGTCATCGTGGTGGCTCCGGAAGAGCGTCATCGGGAACCTTACGGCATCGCCGACGTTACCCAAATTTGGGCGACGATTATATGACTGCCCAAAATTTGGTCCCGCGGGCTCGTCACCCAAATTTGGGCAACGGTGCGTGCGTTACCCAATGAAAGGGAGATAGAGGTGAATCTTTCATTCTCAGAGAGGTACGCTCCCGCCGCCACTGAGGGTGGCGGGACCTCACTAGTGGGTGTCATGGGAATCGCAGTACTCGAGGGAGTGCCACTGACTTCACGGAAAAACCGTGGAGTCCTGCCACCCCCGCGATGACAGCCGCGAGATCCACTGTTACGCAGGCCACCACGACACTTGAGACCCTCAGCAACCCCTCTGAAATGACAATGAAAGGTCCACCGCATCCCCGCTAGACCTACGACATCCTCTCGTGAGGTCTTATGACCCTCAGTGGCCGCAGGTGTGTATCTGGCAGGTGCGAATGCCCATTTCTTAAAATCAATTATCTCCGTACCTAGACGTTTGCGCCCCCCGTTTAAAAAAGATCGTGCCGAGAATGTGTCGAAATGATGTCGAAATGATGCCGAAGTGTCCGGCATGCCCTGAATGATGCCGAAATGCGCTCGGCAAGCCCGAAATCCACCCGCCGCCGGCACGCGGCAAGCCCGAAATGAGCCCCGCTGTCGCGGGCGGCCCGGAATCGTACCGCGACCCCGGCCGCTGCCCGGCCGGGTGGATTTCGGGCGTGCCCGTGCCTTTCGGCATGATTCCGGGCATGCCCGAGTGACGGGGCGCATCGAGACCCTAATCAAAGAAGTGTCAAGTTAATGTCTTTGACCTGCGTACAAAATTGAAAAGTTAAAATAGTGAAATTCTTTCTTAAGTTCCAAGTCTATCAAAACCGGCGTGAAAAATTAGAAAATTCCGTGCAAACGAGATGTTTGTAGGACAATTTTGAATTCTTTGACTGAACAAATCTCCAATCAAATTAAACACTTTGATACGGGTACTTGAATGAATGCAGTTGAATCCGTTGAGCTACTGATGCTTAACAGCCTTAGCATACCTAAATAGTAACTTTAGCTTGCCATCCTATAGAAAAGGTCTGGCTCTCAATAACATAAGCCGCGGGAAAAGGGTACTTCGAGTACGTGGATTATAAGGAAGCGAAGAACCTGGTTTGCGTGTAAGAGCCAACACCCCAATAACTGGGTTTGGGAGCCTGAGACCTGGGTTTCCAGTGGGCCTGGATCCGCGTGTTGACTAGTCCACACGCAGTGCTCTAGTACCTCCGCTCAAGTTCACCGAGTCTGTTGTTAGATCCAAGTGCCCAGCTGAACCCGCGCACCTTGTCCAAAAGTCGAGGGGCTCTCCGCGAGTAACCCAAGAGTCTCGCGGAGGTTACTTATTCGTCAAGACACAGGGCTCGCCGCGTGCTCCTCCCCCAGCAGCGTGTCTCCCCCGCCCCCCTCCAGTGCCGCTCGGGGTCGAGCGAGCTCGCTGGAAGGCATCGGGAGCCTGAGGCCTCCTCCCCAGGTCTCCTCCGTGGTGCAGTTGGCAGCGTCTCGGTCCACAAAGACGGTCGTCCTGGGTTCCAATACTAACCAGTGTTTCTCCTTCAGCGTTCTGTGTACGTGTGTGTATGTGAGTGTGTATGTGCGTCTGTGTGTGTACGAGTGTGCGTGTGTGCGAGACTGAATAGGATCCGCCATCCAGGTACCTCCCCCTCCCCGGCGCCTTAATGGGAGGGACGGTTCGGCACGATTTCGGCATGCCCGGCAAGCGTCCGGCATTGCCGAAAATCGGTTTATTTTCCAACAAAATGATCGTTTTTCGGCAAGCCCGGACTCCTGGTTCGGGGCGGATTTCGGGCGTGCCGGCCGGGCATGCCCGAAATCCTGCCGTCATCCGGCACGATTTCGGGCAAGATCATTTTTAAACGGGCCACTAGTTCACTGGTGAAAAAAGGTCCTCTCGGGGTGCCCAAGCTATCTACAAATTATTGACACATTGAAAAAACTCACCCTGTAGTTCATGCGATAGCCGCTCCAATTACCTACATTTTGGCGCAAACGGGGTTGAGATATCTTCATTTTAGCGGACTGAGCGACTCCCACCAGTTCGATTTTTGACGACAATTTGATTGGTCACTGCTTAGGGTGGTCCAAAAAAAATGAAGTTGCTCGGATCGTCCAACGCCGCCCGGATTTGGATTCTGCATCGAAAAATATGAAATACATGTTTTTTCCTTTTTCGAAAAAAAATGATTTTTAGGACCTCCGCAGAGCCCTTAAGGGGGCACACCAGTGAAAATCGTCAAATTTTTGCCTTCTTTTTTATTTTATCTTATTTCTCTGCTATTCGTCCCGAGTCGAATGCCGCAAACCCTACCCCAAGATTCCAATTACTTTGGCTTGTGCACATTTTTGAAGTTGCTAAAAAGGTTATTATTTTTGGATATTTTAGACCAATTGTGAACGTTCAGGTTTTTCGCTTGAAGTTTAATTACAAAACCCTTGAACCACCTAAACGCGGTTAAAAAGAGGGTCATTTTGGCGCAAAACGAACTTAAATACGTCAAATAGCGCATTTATAATCCGAAAAAACACGTCAAATCTATGTTTCCACTAAAAGGGCTTTTTCTCAAAACACCTTTTTTTAACCTTTGTGCCACTCTCACGGGCGCAAAAATTGAGATAAATTAATGCGGTTTGCGGCAAAATGTTCGTTAAACTTGCGTCTATGGTCTGAACCTCGGAAATGGCCATCCCATAAATAGGACGTGAGCTGCAGCCATGATAGCGCAAAAAGTTTGGTTAAAAAATTTGTTTCTATTTTAGCCTTTTGAAAAAACAAATTCAAAATCATTCTTTTTGCATGCCCGTGGTTCAGACCATAGCCACATGTGTCCTGTTGAGAAATTTTCAAATCCCGTGCTCGAGGCTCAATCCAGAGAGGCGGAATCGTGGCAGGAGTGAGACGAGGTCGCAGAAAAATGAAGTGCACTGGCGCTCCGTCTTGCCATCGCCACCCCACCCTCCCATACTGATTTTTCTTTTCTTTGATATAATTTTGAGCCACGAATAAAATATTAATCGAATACATAGGTTCCTTTTCTCAGAATGATCGTTTTTTCAAAACCTCTTCATTTTCACTGGTGTGCCCCCTTAAAGTTTTTAACAGTGCTATCAATAGAAAAAAAATCGTGACTTAGTCATTTTTTGACCGATTTTCAAAAACGAAACCTGGATTTGTTCGTTTTTGCATGCTTATTACGAAAAAATATATGCCCAATCCTCTTTTCGGTTTGCCTAACTTTCAGGGGCAAAAAATGACTGAATTTCGGCCCAAATTGGCAAGAGTTTCAGTTTGTAGGGCGGTACAGCCACTCCAAGTCTACCCTGTCAGCACGGCGGGGTGCCTCTACCACAAGGCAAGCCCCATCAAGAGAATTGGGATGCCGAGTGCAATTTGCCTACCTCCCAGGGGCATTAAATGGTG